CCAATTTGTTCCCAATTTTAACAGCAACTGTTTGTAACGAAATAAATCAATACTTCACACTAATAGTACAATTTATGTATATCTAATTATTGGAAACGTAACCTATTAAGTTTCAAAGCATTTAAAGTTATTTGACGTAAATTTTGCATAACATTATTTTTAATGTTTGTGGTCAAGTCGCGTGTTAAAAAGGCGTCCAGACAGAATATTTTTAGCAAATAACATGCTATTATATTGCAACCCTTAAGTCTAAAAGCGCCTTTTTAAACCCTACACGATATTAAAATTACAAAGTAATTTTTTGTGTTTTGGGGGTGAATTTAACACTGTTATCTGACCAAATAAAAAAAACAAATAAGAGAAGATAAGATATATTTTACCACGAACATTAAGGTATTTGTTAGGCAAATATTGGGCATAACAAGGGTTGGTAAAATAATTTTGTTCCACAATCTTAAAATTGAGTTTTAACAGTTTTTTTGTTTCAATTTTTATCGAACTGAAAAATTACTATGTAACAGCGAAGTGTTTTACATTTGCCACTAAATCTAAAAAAATCGTCAGATATTTTCAAATTTGAATCAATTTTAATTAATTTGATAAACTGTTATTGTAACTATGTTATTTTTAACGTAAGCACGGTAAATATTATTCTTGAGGCTCACTTGCTATGGGAATGAGGACAGGTGGTTGTTTTTTAATTATCGCCACCCCTTCATATTTGTAGTCAGTCAGTCTTAGTCCATAAAATTGAATATAAAACTTTTACAGCACTAATAAAACTGGCTTGTATGTTGTATGAAAAATGTGGCATGCTTGCCAAATAGGCCAATACATCGTTTTTTTATTAATATTGGGAAGTTAAAAGGGTAAAAGAATAAGAGTGTATAAGAAAAGAAAGGGGTGCAATCAATGTGAGAAGTAGTAGTTGAGATTTTGCTGCTACCGCCGTTGCCGCCACAGGAAGGCCCCGGGGTGGCCTATACACGCGGAAATCAATAATAGGAAGTCTTCTTCTATTCACTTGCCATGGCCGATATTTTACATTTTTACATTCTACTTTTACTGACTGTTTACAGTTATGATAATGTGTATTAGTATTGTTTTACAATAGACTATAGTAAAATTACAAACTATTGTTCGTTTGTTTGGTAGAGATGTAGTAAATTTACAAATAATTTTATATAAAGTAATTTTACTACCTATGCTACACTGTTAAAAATTTCTATTGTAATTTTACTACATCTTTAGGAAGTTTTTACGCACCACAATATAGTAATAATAAAACTCAGCTTTGTAAACTCACTATAGTGTATACACGATTCATTACAACTCAGTTTTGGAAAATTACAAAACAAATTCACTAAGCATTTATTAAAAATTTGTTCAGTAACATTACTATAAAGGTATTGTAATTTTGCTAAAAAAAATACTAAATATGTTCAGTAAAATGGTGTATTGTAATTATACTATACAATTCATTTCAACTCAGTTTTATAAAAATTACAAGATATAATTTACAATTTTACTGAATTCATTTCAACTCAGTTTTATAAAAATTACAAGATATATTTTACAATTTTACTGAACTGAAGAAAATTCGTTTCTTCAAGAAACTTTCTTAACCCATTACTGTAAAGATTTAAAAAAATTGAACCTTCACCTCGCCAGAGTTTGTTTTAAGTGCGTTCCATCAACTTCAAATACCGACAGACAGCTAGAAAGATTGACCCATTTTGGGTCTCATCAATGTCGGGCAATTTGGTGTATTGGAACACACCAAAAACGAAAGACACCTGAGCTTATATACTGTCCACCTAAGTCAACCGAGGCGAGATGTAAGAACACCACTTGATTGCGGCTATCGGTACATATATAGTATACTATGCATTTTACATAACATTATAGCAAATCAAATTACAAACAACGTTTGTAAATCTGAAATGCTTTTTATTAGAAACTGTCAAACTGTTTAGTAAAATTACAATGCGTGTAGGATTTATACAGATTGTAAAATTAGAATTTATCTTAGTAGATTTCCCAACATGTCTTGGAAGATTATAGTATACTCAAATTGTATTATAATTTTGTATTGGTATACACTGATATGTAATTTTACTCATCCTTTGTTTTTCAAAACAATTGTAATTTTACAAATTTTTTTAACAGTGTACATGATTAAAATGATATGCAGTAAAAGTGCAAACAGAAGTTGTATAAAATAAATAATGATTTTTATATTTCCAAACACTTATTGTAATTTAAATAGCAAATTCAATTCTACAATCAGTGCCGGCGTGAGGCATGTGCAAATGGTGCGGTTGCACCCGGCCCCGCGTTTTATAGGCCCCGCGCGCATCAAGGCGTCTTAACGAAATTATTGTACATTTTAGCAACATGGCAAGCTGTAAGCACAGCGTGACAAAATAATATCTGGTCATTGCCAGAGATAATATCTTTAGTAGGTATCGTCATCTATTATCATTCAGTTCAATGTTGCTAAATGTGTATTTGAAGTTGCCTGTATCCATTTAAAACAATTATTATTACGCCGGGAAAAGAGTTTTTTAAAATTAAAATTAATGAAAAAATATTTAAGATCAAGAAGGTATGTGCAAAGAACGACTAGTGGCTTTGGCTATATTGTCAATAGAGAAGGATGTTGGAAAAGAGCTTTCGCTAAAGCATGATAAAATTATGTGTGATTTTTTATTAAACGTTAATTTCTATATTAATTGAAGGGAAAAGCTGAACCACCCAAGTGCATTTTTAAGTCATAATTTTCTAGTATCCGGTAACACGCCTAAAAAAATTTGACTTAAAAATGCACTTTCAGCTCTTCCGTTTGATGTTTTATTGGTTTATTGCCGCTAAGCGCTATGTTAATTTTCAAGAGTAAATTTTTAGTTCAAGCCCCGCATTTTTCTTTTGCACCTGGCCTCTAATAAGCTAACGCCGGCCCTGTCTACAATACATAATTGTAAAATTACGTATCTGACAAAAACAAAAACCTTGTAAAATTGGAACTTTGGCTGTAACAAAATGTAATATTACAACAAATGCGTATTACAATTGCAATACAATACAACATTTTGTAATTTGACTATGCAACTGCTTTAGGTAAAGGACGTGGTATAGTATGTTTACTCAGAATTTTATGTAGAGTTTAAACATGTAAAAATATATTTGAAATAACAAAGTTGATGTCACTTCCGGTTAAAGCGGAAGTGGTATTTTGTTTAAAATATTTTAGAAAAAGACAAACTTAAATGGATTATGGACGCTTTTAAAATTTTAAATCGATACCTTTTTTCGTTTTATTTCTAATGGACCACGAATGTGAATCACCCTGTATAGGAGAATACTTAGTGCACCCTGCATTATATCATTTTTTTATCAACATTTATATAATTTATATAAATGTTGATAAAAAAATGATATAAAGTAATTTTACCATGATGTTGTCTTGTAAAAATGTATTAAATTTACAAAGAATTTTATATTATAATATAAAAAACTTATTGAAACAAAATTATATAAAGTAATTTTACTATGCTATTGTTTAGCAAAGATGTCGCAAATGTATAAAGAATGAGGCTGAAGGACTATTGTTCTATATGTACTCAATATGCAATAAAAACTTTTTTATTTTATTAATTATAAAGAATTTTATATAGTTTTAAAAATTGTATTGAAAAAAAAATTGTATAAAGTAATTTTTTCTACTCCTATTGCATATTATTGACATTTTTTTTCGTAAATAATGGTAACCAATATTCACTTTGTTAGGCATCAGTGATTGGCTGATTTCAATATTCACTGTTATTTAAACCAATCGGGTTTTAAATTGTAAAAAAGTAAGGTTATAATACATTTTGTTAATAATGAAAATAACTTAATTGAAGTAGAAAAAGCATAGGATTGTATAATAATATACTATTATTAGGTATATACATACATATAAAATTATACAGGGTGTCCTAAAAATAGAGTGCAATATTCTATGCATGCATGCATAGAATATTGCACACTATTTTTAGGACAATGGCATAGTAAAATTATTTGATAAATACTTTTTTGAATAAAGTCCAGAAAAATAATATATACGTTTATAAGATTTCTTCCTATTTTTGTCTTTAAAAACCATGTCTTTAAAAAGTATATATCAAATAATTTTACTATGCTATTGTTTAGTAAAGATGTAGTTAGTTTATAAAGAATTTTTAAAAAGTATTACATATTTTACCATATACAGGGTGTCACCAAAAGGGAAGCCAAAATAAGAAAGATTTTCTCTATAATTTTTGCATTAAGTACCAAGTTCAATTTGTTTAAAAAAAAAACATTACAATTTTTATAGGCAAAGTAGAAATTTTGAACCGCCACTGGTTGTTCCTGACCAAAGCAGCAAAATATGCTTCCACAGTGGACAATAATCTACATTCCTTACCAATTAACATTTGTGTTATCATTGATACTTTGTTGATAATTGTTTTTTGTTTTGCAGACTCAGCTATTTTTAGGTACTTTGAACATAACAATACATACTTTTTATTGTTAGGTATCTCGAGGTTTCCATGGTTTTCCGGTCGATTTTAAATTTCACCTTTCAATTTTTAAGTCGATTGATGCTCATGTAGCCATTTTTTAAGTGTTCCACAAAATCTTAATGAATATTCAACTATCCCGCCGTTATTATCCACACAAAGTTTACAGCGGCGTAGAAAATGTGTGTGTCGCTTTTGCTATCATATCCGGATGATTTTTGATTTTTTTTTAAACAATGATCATATGTAGGATAGGTCAGTGACATCCAGTAGCTTCCTGGTTTGTCAAAATAATTTCATAATTTTTTTATTAAAAAACAGAACTCTAATGCTAATGATAGAGGAACATTTGTCTTGTTTTGGCGTGTATTATCATTAGGTATAATTTGATAAATTTTTTGTTATAGGTATATTGTATAGAAAAAAATGTTTAATTGAAGACTTTTTTTTCAGCTACCGGCCTAGATCCGACAGGTCTTTTGCAGGCTTCTTCGTCGGGTTACGCAGGTCAAACGATCGACTTGCTGGAGAAGCTGGGTCTGCACAATACCACTTGGGCCGGGGTCACGCTAGCCCCTGGCCCGCCCCAGCTCAGGCCCGCTTACTACTTACAAGGTAAATAGAAAAAATATTTTTGCTAAAAATTAAAAAAAAACACCCCAATTATTACCACAAAAAACACTTGAACAATGATCTATTAGTTTCAATGTATGATATGTTGAAGACATACCCTTAGGGGTAGCTAAAGCAGTAAATGTTCAGTTTAAACTGGTTATATGGTTGAATGGCACGCATTTACACAGAGGGGTTGAAATCGATTACCATTTACTTTTTAACAGTAGTGAAAGCAACATTCAGATCACAAATTCATCCACTGCACTGCCTGGAATATTTCAGCCCACCCCCTTTCGGATATTTTAAGCAATAATAAGAGGGTGATAATATTGTATACGGTCTTATAATGGGGCCAATAAATAAATGGAAGTTTCCATGTATTGTTTTAGAAAGATAACCTCCCAGATTTATTCATAGAATAGTGGAGACAATTTATGTATCAGTGCTGTCAAGTTATACGAGCTATATTTCATTGGCTGAGCAAATTGGGGGGTCCGAATAAAATGACAAACAGAATCATGTTTGATTTTTAACAAGTCGAGAAAGTGCACAACAAAGTGAACCTAATGAGGTTCGTAGCCGGGAAATAATCGTGGATTAGCGCGCCTCAACAGCTTTTATGGATGAATGAAAAATAAAAGATCCTCTGAACTTTCAGGATTGATCTTTTATTTTTTGATGTTTTAATGGCCGGGCGATTTATTTTTGTACAGTTCGCGTGATAATGTCATCTTAGTACACCGAAACTGCTAAATGTTTATGTAAATTTTCCATTTTGTTATATTCAAATGAAGTTGTAGATATATTTTATTGTTTTTATTGTTTACTGGTTTGTTTGAAAATACATACATTAAATTTCTAGCAACTTTGGTTTTATAATTGAGGATTAATTTCATTTCATTTTTTTTGCAATTTATAAACAACAAAATAGTAAGAGAAGGCATAATTTTGATATGCATTTTTACCCAGAATTGCTTAGCAGAATTGGTTTCCAAGTTCCTCAAATTAGACTAAGAAATAATAACCTCTTTTATATTTGTCACCACAGCACAAACTATGGTTTTAATGCACCCTTAAATAAGATATGTAAAAATGCAAATAACTTAAATTTAGATTTCTTTAGCAATACTTTTCAGTCTTTTAAAAAATCTGCAAATAACCATTAAACTGTAATCTTCAGGTTTTTGTTTCAATGTAAATAATGGTATTCCGTCAATAATAGTTATTTATGTATTAAGGGCATAATAAGGATTTTATGGTCCGAGGCGCTATTTCGAGCCCAAATGCGTTAGCGCGAGGGCTAGAAAAGCGTCGTAGAACCATAAAAACCAGTTATGCCAGCAATGCATACAAAACTTTATGCACGAGTAATATATTATTATTTTTAATATATTATTGTTTTTAAAGACGTTTACGTCAAAGAATTTTTGTTATAATTGTCATATTATAATGTCAACTGACATCAGTCAGTTTTAAAGTTTAAAGATGAATGAAATTGAGAAAGCAGCTGAAAAGGCGAAAAATTGCGGCCTGCTGCCGGAAAAATCAAAATCTTTATACGAAAAAACTTACTTCGAATATATCAAATGGTGTAACATTGTTGTTTTTAATTTTTGACGTTTCATTATAGCCCGCTGGGTCATAATAACGCCCGCGGGCTATAAAAAGACGTTTACGTCAAAGAATTTTTGTTATAATTGTCATATTATAATGTCATCGTGCATAAAGATATTTATTTATAAAAAAAAAAGAGCAACGGCATATGACGTAAGCGTTAAGGTCTATTCATACGTGCCCAGGCACAATCTAACGCTCGTGTATTGTTGACTGTTTATAACGGTTGGGGCACAATCCACACAACAATCGTTTTAAACGTTGTGTTTCTTACAGAGAGACTTGCAAGCCTTAAAAGAGACCTCAAAGTGGTAAGAACAATAATTTTACTCCTCTTTTGTAAAAAATAAACCTTATTCTAACAGGGCTGTCAAATTTCAATTTGAAGGTTAATTTAAGCTTATTTTATAACCCACAGAGGAGTAAAATGATTGTTCTTACCACTTTGAGGTCTCTTTTAAGGCTTGCAAGTCTCTCTGTAAGAAACACAACGTTTAAAACGATTATTAATCTGTACAAACCCAAAGCACAAGAATTGTAAACAACAAAAATGGTCGCCATTAAATGATGTGCAGTGTTGCAGTGATTTTTAGTACGAGATCGAACAGACCTTGTTATGTGGATTGTGGGTTGGGGCTGTTTATTAAGATGGAATTATAACTTAATTTTTATCTTCTACACTAACTAATTAGGAGTTTGTCACGGTCAAATTTTGACTAAATGTGTTTAGAGAGGAAGCAAACGGAGTTTATTCCATTTTTATTACATACATAACAAAAAAATACTATATTACTAGGCGTCTTTGTAGTCTAAGCCAACCAGGTCAGACTTATTGGGATTGGCTATCGCTTTTATTCTTATTTAACTTATCCTTTGCGTTAGATAATTTTAATTTTCAAGTATGTGTTTCTTATAACTGCACTGTTCAAAATTTCATGACCATTTTAACACCAAATTAACACCATACATGGTCTATATCGATACAAACCAAAATGGTGTTAAATATGGTTCGTTGGTCCGGTGTAAATTTAAATATAAAAATAGTGTTAATTTAACTTTCACACAGTATTAAAATAAATTTTACCTGGTGTTATTGAACTCCTTTTCAGTGTTAAATATTATGTATTTTTGGGCAAATTAAATCATACTACACAGAAAAAAGGGAAAAAAAGGAAACATAAAGTTCCTTGACGCATTACTAGTATATTACCAGTGGTATTATGCCAGAAAATTGAACCTTCAACTCGCTAGAGATAATGTTTTTAGTGCGTTCCACTAACTTAAAATACTTCAAGTATTGACAGCTGTTTCCACCTATTAAAGGTCTCTTTAGTATCGAACACCTTGTAGTGTCACACCAAAGCAAAGGACTATCTAAGCTTATATACTCTTCATGTAAGTCAACAGAGGCGAGATTTAAGAACATCACCGCCTTTGCCGCGATCGGTACACACTATGCAACCGGGAATGCACGGCAAATTGTTTTAATCGTTTTAACAGAGTGCTTTAGGTTAAAGTAACTCTTATTTTACAAACAACATATTTAGTAAACTGAACCATACAGCGGGTTGGTTTCACTACAGTTTTCTGGGTTAATTTAACCAATTTAAAAAAATAATAAAATAACTATCTGGTTTAGTACCGTTTATACAGGGTGTTATGTAATTAATGTTATATATTAAAATGGGTAGTTCCTTGGGGTCCATAAAGAAGCACCTGAAACTTTTTTTTTCTAAATTCCAAAGTCTAAAAATAATTTATAATAACCTTTATCCTACCAAAAAGTACGCCACTGATCGACTAGGAACTTTAGGTTAATCGGGTGGATTTATTATGTTATGGTTGGTAACAGTGTTTCCAAAATCTCTCAAAAAAGTTGACAAACATTGTTTAAATTTAGCTTAATTACAAAAATGACAAAATTAACAATGCAATTGTCAATTTGGCGTTTTTATTAATTGTTGGTTATTTCATTTTTGTACTGAAGGTAAATTCAAACAAAATCTGCCAACTTTTATGACAGAATCTAGTGCATTTCTTTTAAATTTTAGGTTATGTTTTCAAATTGTAAATATCTTAACTAAGGGAAGTGCTTTTGGATTTATTTACACAAATTAAATGTTTAAAGTTTAACCTGTGAACTGGTCCCAATTTCATCTGAGTAAACAGAGAAAAAAACTGATGAAAAAATTAATTTTGTGGTTATGGATTTCAAATTTCAAAGGTACTAAATTTTCTAATCATTGCTTAAGCTAATAGCTGGATCAGTAAATAAATACAGAAGGGTATTAGAGCTTTAAGGGCATAAACTTTTGTATTTATTGAGTTTTTATTTATTTTTGCAAGAAAAATTTTTAGTAACAATTTTTTACATCTGGCAACGCATAGCTACTTTGTTGGTTGGTATCCATGTACTCACAAAATACAGGTGTGCAGAGATAAACAAGTGTGTAACCAGTGGCGTATCACAAAAAATATAAAAAACTTCTAATGCATATTTTTTCGTTATCTTTTGAAAAATGCTTTTTAAAATATTTTTCCTTTATTCCTTATGTCAAAAGGTATTCAGTATTTTAATATATAACATTAATTACATAACACCCTGTATTAAGTTAATATAATTTATATTATTAACCTTCCCACAGTTAATAAAAATAAAAAAAAAATACAAAAATAAATACTTATGGGTCAACTAAATTAATATAGTTAAATGAACTATTCCTTTTTTTCTGTGTAGGTGCACTTCTCAAATATTTTTAGATAAACACCGTTTTGGTGTTTGCTGTATATAACATTTTCAACCATAATTCATGGGGTTATATTAACACCACTTGGTGTTGGATTTTGACACCATTTTAAGATTACTCTTTACACCACAGATATTTTAAACAGTGTGGTCTTCCTAGCATGCTATATACTTTTTATATTTGACGAAAGCTACTCCTGATTAAAAAAAAAATAACAAAAGAGATACCTAATTATTTTTTTATTTCCAGGCGACTTTCGAGACCTCAAGCTGCCACCGTCGGCCTTCCAGCAAGTGGCAGATCTGCTGCGTCGTAGCCCGGAGTTCACCATCGCGGCCTGGCTGAGACAGGAAACCGGAAACTCCGGGACGATCGTGAGCATCGCGCACGGCATGAACCGATACCTGGAGCTCGCGTCCAGCGGCCGAAAAAACCAAATCCGGTTGCATTACACGTCGCGAGTGGACTCTAAAGTTTACGTGGAGACTTTTCCGTTCAAATTGGCCGACAACGTTTGGCATCACGTGGCTGTGAGCGTTAGCGGGAGTCAGGTGGAGTTGATCGTCGATTGTCATCCGATGTACAAGAGGTTGATGAGACCCGGCGCGCCCGAAAGGAATTTCAGTGATCCCCAGCAGCTGTGGCTCGGCCAAAGGAACAAACATTACTACTACAAGGTACGTTTACCAAAAGCATGTTCGTAACTGAATCGTCTGATCATCGGTCCTGCTTGCTTCAGGGTGCCATGCAGGACGTAAAGGTCATCGGAGGACCCCACGGATACCTGCTGACTTGTCCGGAGCTGGATTCGACGTGCCCGACCTGCGGCCAGTTCAGCCTGTTGCAGAGCACCGTGCAGGAGCTGACGCGACATCTTCAGGAGCTTTCCGAAAGGGTATATGGACTACCATGTAACGTCATTAAGCGTTCTGTACCCTGTTTTGATTATATAAAATTCTGTGTTTTGCAGTTAATAGCTGCAGAGGGACGCATTAGCACGTTGGAGGACTGCGACTGCCAGAAGTCCTGCCACGACGAGCAGGACGGGACGATACACGCGGACGGGGCCACGTGGCAACGCAACTGCGATCTTTGCTCATGCACGGTAATTTTTTATTAATTTTAACATGATTAATATAGGGTAAAGTGGGGGAATGACGACCAGCGGGTAATAACGATCATCAAAAGTTTCATAGTAAGGTAAATTCTACATTGGCTTCAGTCAATTCGTGTTTATTTAAAGCAGGGTAAATTCTTGTAATATTTTCAAGTATATAATTAGTTGTTTTGTTATTGTTATTGAATACCTGTAAATTTTAGTTTGTTATGAATTTAATAAATTTTTTTATAGCAACATAAGTCAAATGTCTTATATCATCACAAGTCAAATATACCTGGTTGCGATTACCCACCACTTGGTCGTAATTACCCCGTTATGTGGGAAATGACGACCAAAAGCACTTTGTTAAGAATTTTTTTTTGAAAAACTATTCGAGTTGTATTTCTGAATTGATGCATGAATAATCTTTAGACTTTAGTCTTTCTATTCCGATTTTCAAAAAGTAAAAATATTGGTACAAAATTATTTTATGGTTAATTTTTCTTAGGTGGTCGCCATTCCCCCTCTCTACCCTACACGTTCGTGATTTAAAAAATTTTATATCCAAAAAATATTTTTTATCTTTATCTTTTGCTGGTCAGTGTATTGTCAGGGCTGGATGCTCCCGTGTACGAATGTTCGTGCCGCGCATGACGTCACTTGATGAGTAGTTGCCGTGCGAATACACGAATAATAGTAATATTATCAAAGAAAATAGAGAAATATCTGGACATAGTGCGTTTTTATTAAACTTAATATTGAAGAAAGTGTTATAATATGGATAATAGATGCTTTCAGTCCTTGATAACATTTAGGGCTGTAGTTTAAGCGTTGGTGTTTTAAATTAAACTTATAGTCACTGTCCAGAAAATGGTTATAGGAAACAGAAGCGGTCTTAACATTAATATTGTCTATTCTTTTTGTGGCATTTACTTAACCACTGTTTGCACAAATCAAAGTTTTTCGGGAATCGATTTAATTTAATGTTTTTATTTTATTTTTCTTGGACTGGTTGTCCAAATTGCATCCAAATATGCCACACCGCATTTTAATAAATGCAAATGGCACGACACAAACTAAAACACAAACAAAACAAGTTAACGCAAAACAAAAACAATAATAAACAAACAGAACAGGTTAACACAACGCAATAACAATAATTTGAACACTGAAAAGTAATTCGAACCTTACCGAACGCAAAAACAACAAGTTAAACAAAAAATTCAGCAAATTAACATCCAACAGCATCCCAAAAACAAGAATTTTAGCAGCAGATAATTAAAAAGCACGTTAAAGATTTAAAAACACTCATCAAGTGACGTATTTAAGCCCCGCCCAACATGCGCACCATCCTATCTTAAGGTGTATGTATCTTGATGTATTGTACACCTCCTGAAGAAAAGGTGGATCTACATTTTGTTAACCGCGTCTTTTTGGGGCAAATCCACAAATATAAAAAATTAAATTTCCATTAAACATGTAGATACCTGCTAATCGTAAAAACATGGGGGTATCGATATTTTTATAAATAATAATACATTTTTTTGTTACAGCACGGTAAAATTCAATGTCATCCAGTGGAGTGCCCGGAAGTACACTGCAAACACCCCGTCAAACTAAAAGAAGACTGCTGTTACAGTTGCCTGAGTGAGTACCAACCTCAAAGAACAAAACACCCAAACTACACAAGAACTAATTCGAATGTCTTCCATGTTTAGAGCACTGTTTCTTGAACGACCAGTTCTTCGACCACGGAGAGGTTGTCACCGTCAAAAAGTGCGTTGAATGCGAGTGCAAGGACGGAAGCATGGACTGCAACCGGATCAACCCGGAAACGGCCTGCCCGAAGCTCACCTGCCCCCCGGAACTGCAGTTCAGCGTGCCAGATAACTGCTGCAAATTTTGCCCAGGTAACTTTCAATCATCTCATCATTCAATTAAACAATTAATAACCTTTCATTTTGCTTTTGCGACTAACGGCATAACTAACTAACCTTGCGCCACCCCTTCTTCTCTCCTAACAGGTGTTGACTATTGCGCAAACGGCCATTTTTGTCACGATAACGCGACATGTCGGAACCTGCAAACTACTTACTCTTGCCAATGCGATGAAGGCTTTCATGGGGACGGAAATATGTGCTCTGGTACGAACCCCTCTTGCTTTAATAACACATGCATCAAAATTTAATTACCTCTAAATCATAAATTTGGTCTTGAAGCCAGCTCAGGCATTTCATTTCATGTGAGGCAACTTCAAGACCGGACGTTTGCAGACTCAAAAATCTAAACTTTAACACAATTCTCTAATGTAGATATCGACGAGTGTCAGCAAGAGGGTGGCCTAGAAGGCCACCACTGTCATCAAAATACCGTGTGTGTGAACACGCCGGGGTCGTACAAATGCGAGTGCCTCGAAGGGTACAGAAGTCTGGATAAGTTTAACTGCGTCGAGGAGGACGAGTGCTCAACAAGAAAACACAAATGCGACGAAAATGCGGATTGCATTAACACGCAGGGCAGCTACCACTGCGTCTGCAAGGACGGGTACAAAGGAGATGGGTACCTATGCGAAGGTATGGACATTTTGAACAGACCAATTTAGAACCTTGATTTACGTTCTTTTTTTAGCTGTGTGTAATCAGACGTGCCTGAATGGCGGCATATGCAGTAGCCCGGGCAAATGCCGATGCCCCAATGGATACATGGGCTCGAGTTGCGAAAAAGATGTAAATGAATGCGAAATGAATCTCCATAGATGTACTGAAACCTCGGAGTGTGTAAATATGATTGGGTGGTACTATTGCAAGTGCAAAAAGGGCTACCAAAGCCGGATTTCGAACAATAATCTAGGAACTTTATGTGAAGGTAAGTCACAAGGACAACTTTGGCGATATATTAGAAATATTCCCCAACACCAAAATAAAACAAAAAACATTACACAAACTTTAAGCACTTTGTGTTATGTTTTGGTGTTGGGGAATATTTCCAATATTTGTTTGTCGGAGTTTACGATTATTAATATTGATTTTTGCTGTAGATGTTGACGAGTGCAAAGAAAAGCAGCACACCTGCCACCAGAGTGCGAAATGCGTGAACACGAACGGACGCTACAAGTGCGAGTGCGACGCAACGATTAAATTAAACACTAGTGCGGTAACCGTATCGCCCGTGGGCGGCAACGAATGCCGGATGAGTTGCGCTTACGGCGGCGGCGAGGTCCCGGACGGCTCGTCGGTGCCGCCGACGGCAGCGCTGGACGCCGCCACTTCAAAGTGCGAGCGCTGCACCTGCACCAAGGGCGTGATGGAGTGCGAGCGCCGCCGCTGCGACTGCGCCCAGCCGGGGGCGGCCGACGACGAGTGCTGCCCCCAGTGCAGCGCGCGCTTCAGCTGCCGGCACCAGGAGCTCACGGAGGTCGTGCTGAGGCACGGCGAGCAGTGGAGCTATCAGTGCCAGACTTGCGAGTGCGAGTACGGCGAGGTAAGCAGTGATGCCAACTTGGCGACTTTGTCGCTAGACCTAGCGATTTGAGGTGGCCATTTGAGACATTTTTTTATGATTTGTGACGTGTCTCAAACCTAGCATTTTTCACATTGTGTTGGTGACATTTTTGGAGACATTTTAACATTGATAATGAAATTTGTTTTTAAACAAAACAACAAAATAATTTGTAATTTAAAAATTTTAAATCTAAATTTGTTACGTTGGCATGGCCAACTTGGCAACGACGGCAACGTACGGATCAGGGTGGAAGAAGAAGGTGATATAGCTCCTATCTCTACAGTACAAAAGCAAGCGTCCAGATAAGTCAGTATTTCGTTCGTTGTTCGTTAGATGGCGAGTCAAATAAGAACCTAAGGTTTTACCAACGAAATCCATATACTCTATAACAAATTAACTTTTAACAACAAATTATAAGATAACGAAACCCCAAGGAGAGTCTTCTACACTCCTTAACGAAAATCACATCTTTTCTTACAGCAATACTGTAGTATTGCCAACTGTTTTGCCAAAATGCACAGTCGCCACAAACGCACAAAAGTGACGTTGAAATGGTTTTATTTGAATTTTAATTAAGCTTAGTGGTCTATTCTTTAAAGTTAATCAATGCAATTTTACTAAAAATGGGAAAAGTTTGTTTTGCACCGGGATTATAAAAGGTTCCACTTCAATGCGCCATCTATACAGACTTTTAACAAATACTGACTTATCTGGCCGCCTTCAACGACGGAGTTGAATCACCTTCTACCACCCTGGTACGGATGATCCTTAGAAGGGATGATCCGTACGTCATCCTTAAAATGGCAAAAATTTGCCGGGCAATAATAACTATTATCAAATCCCATTATGGAAAGTCCAGAACCAAAGATTAGTGTTTAAAATCAATTTTTAGTCAGAAAAATTATAACTATTAGTTATTTTTGTGTAATGATAAGATAATGCCATTTTCTAGCGTCCTTTACTACAACCACATTAAAATTATTTATGGATGAAAAATCACATCTGTTTAAAATTTTGCAACTATCTTAAACTTGAAATTTTTTTAAATTTGTGACATCTGGCGAAGTGCCAAATAATTTAGCGATTTCTGGCGACTTTTGAAGAGCTTGGTTGAGACTTTTCGCAATAGTCTGTTGTCAACACTGGAGGTAAGCGGACGTCGCACTATGGACAAAAAGCAGCGTTTTGCGGACAAAATTCAATAAATTTTTTATTACAAATAAATATTATTTTTTTCTTTTTTTAATGTGTTAAATAGGATTTATTACGTATAATTAACTATATTTTAATCGAAAATTTTTAAGATTTTAATTTTTAAATGCGTTTTTAGATTATCATTAAGCGTTGTTATGCAGAAATAATTCACAAACTTTTTTATTCACAATAAATACCAATTGTTTTACTGTATTATATAAGGATTATTACGTACCTATAATTAACTATATTTCAATTAAAAAACATAAAGGTTTTTAATTTTAAAATACGTTTTAGACGTTCATAGAGCGTCAATTACGGAAATAACCCAATAATATTTATTATTTTTTGTAAATAAATACCTACTTTTTTACAATCTTAATTAAGCACACTTGAAGAATTAATAAACATAATTTGAATTTTAACATTTATTCCATTAATAATTCCTTAACTTCTTCATCAAGCTCATATTTTACAAATTTTGTATTTCTCCTAAGTAACGTTATGGGGGGGTCAGACGATATTAAAAGACGATAAAATTTATCCTCATTTGTTGATTTTCGATTTGTTTTTCTCGAAAACGCATATCGATTTTTTTAATCCTTATTTCCATATTTATGTGTAAAATAATCGTATTATTACAAAAATTAAGTGTATAATTACCTAATAAATAAATGTAATTTTACCATTATTTTTATCAGTGGTGCACAAGATCTTGAGGTCTCATTTTTTAGGTGGATTGTTGGGACATGCGTTGTCCGCCCTTGCTGTGCGACAACCCAGTGACTTCAAGCGGCGATTGCTGTCCGCATTGCGGGGACCCGTGTCCGATGGGGAACGTGTCCGGCACCGGACAGCAGTGCGTCTACATGGGCAGAATGTACGAGTCGGGGGCGCAGTTTGCCGATCCCAACGATACGTGCGTAACGTGCAACTGCAAGGTAGGTGAATTTTACAAGAGCATTGTTTGACGAATAAATTATAATGAATAGAAGTACATTTAATTGGTCTTTTATCACGTTGCCAACGAAAAGGTACAGTTGAATACTAAAAAAAGCTTGTCTGCATTGTGTTTTCATTTTTTAACATTTTTGTTTTTAAATGTTTGCGCTCAAAAATCATCTCATACTATAAGAAAACGTGCTTCTAGTTTAACGTGTAACCTAATTTAATTAATAGATATAGCGCTAGGCAAAAAATAACAACATTCTTTTTTAACCTTGATAAAAAAGCATGTGCCGCGCTGTTGATGTATGTATATACAGGGTGCTTAAAATATTTTGTGTTAAATTTGACATATTTGTTCAAATCGTAATAATAAAATGGGGTAGTTAATTTTTTTCTGACCTATACTTTTTATGGTTTTATTCAAGGCGTTTTGTAATTTTAAACATTTCTGTGAAATCGGAATTTCAATTGAGTTTACCGTTTTTGAGATATTTACAAAAAAAAATCTCCTAATTACGTCACTAGGCTATTGACAACGTTGCCAGCTTTTTCTATGGTTGTCAGTGTGTTTAGTTTAAGATTCTTACGATAGATGGCGCCACGTTATATTATTTTAGTTTTAAAACCACTTGATCTATAATTTTATTTGAGAAGAAGAAGAAGAAGAATTGATTTTTTGACGTTTCTTTTTTTCGGGTTATGTTTTTTTTAAATTTAGATTATTGAAAATCAATGTTATTGTTATGTTATTTGTAATTGATATTAGATAAGTGATTTATTAATAACGGACTCCAAAGCAGAGGAATCTTGTGGAATGGTTGGTTACATTGAACATTGGAGCTTTTAAACAATTAAAGTAAGTACCTATAATTATAATCATATTTTGTCGTAAATGCATTTCATTAGTATAATGCCTAGTTCTTTATATTCTTTTAGATATATCTAGGACTCTAAAATATCAAACAGTAATGATACCTCGTAATAAGGAAGATAGGTACTTAATGAATTTGGTGACCATCTTTCACTCAACTGACAGTGACAGTATTTGTACATAACCTCTTCGGGTATTTTCTGACATAACCGAATGAAATCATTAACAAGACAACTTGACAACAGGGTAATTTTCAACCAATAGAAATCTTAGAATGTTGGTCACATGGCGAGGTTTGTGACGTCATAAAAATTTATATTTTTTGTAAATATCTCGAAAACGGTAAACTCAATTGAAATTCTGATTTCATATAAATGTTTAATATTACAAAACGCCTTGAATAAAACCATAAAAAGTATAGGTCAGAAAAAATTTAACTACCCTATTGGCTTATAATAACCACCCTTAATACATAAACAATGTATAGAGAGAGATAGCCTAGTGGGCTTGCTTCATTGCTAGGCGACCGACTAACAATTAACACCCATGTTACCTTCCAGGTTCCGTTCTGCGCAGAACTGGTGAGCAATACCGCGTGTTGTGTGCATCGGTAATCACTTCACTAAATACACAAAATACAAAAAAAAATACAAAAAGAAACAATACACACCTCTAGTAGTGCCTGCGTGACACCCCTACTTCTCCCTTATATTATTACACTCTATTTTATTAGAGGGCCACGTGGCCCATAGCTACCTATTGCCTGAGTATTTTTTAGTTTATATATCTACAAATAAAACATACAGCACTCTATAGATGTGTATCGCTACTTGTGCATGCTTTTTATTTTTATTAGTTGGTTTATTTTTTGGTATCTTTAATTCTATTATTTCTTCTTAGTTTTTCTTTAATTAATGATGAAAGTTGATGTTTTGGTGAATGCAGAATGGCGCATGTGCACTTTTGATGAATTTTAACTTTGGATCATTCACTGGGTAGTTCAAGCAGTTTATCAAAAGGAAGTTACCGTTTTATATACTTTTCATTCGTACAGTTTTACTTTGAAGAATTTATGACATTTTTTTTAACTATTTTAATACATTTAATCTTTTTTTGCCATATAACAGTTTGTTAAATGGATTATACGATTTGTCGTATGTGGTATAGACTGGGCCAAAAAAATCGACTATTTTTTTTTGGAAAGTATATCGAAAATATTGTTTGGGGTGACAAAAAAAAATTATGGTGAAATCATCGCAATTTTTTTTCCTGAGCGAGTTTTTGTCTCAGAACCAAATCATTGAGTTTAACGGTTTAATTGGAATTTCCCGTCAGATGAACCCTTTTCTTACAATAATGCCTTAAAAATTGGTATAGTTTTACAATTTGATCTTTTAACTTTGTAAAAATCAGTACCCTGAAAAAAAACGATAATTATTCTTATTGGAAATCAAATGCTCTACAAAAAAAGTCTTTTATTATTTTTGGCTAAATTCAATCAAAAGTTATTCAAGGTTAAATTTGAAGTCAAAACGAAATTTTAACCTTGAATAACTTTTGATTGAGTGAATTTAGCCAAAAATGTTAAGAGGCTTTTTTTGTAAAGCATTTGATTTCCCATAAGAATATTTATCGGTTTTTTATGGGTACTGATTTTTACATGAATTACAAAATTACAATTTAAAACAACAAAATGTAAAACTATACCAATTTTTAAGGCATGATTTTAAGGAAACGGTTCATCTGATGGAAAATTCACTTTAACCTTTTTTGTAGAGCATTTAATTTTCTTAAAAAAATATTTTTAAGTCAATTTTGTTAAACTCAATGGTTTGGGAGTTTTGAGCCTAAAACTTGCTGAGGAAAAAAAAAATTAAAATTGCGATTATAGACCTCCTAATATTAATATTATGGACTCAAACTTTCACAGACATTTTTTTTTGTTACCCCAAACCATATTTTCGATATACTTTTCAAAAATAAAAATAGTTGATTTTTTTGGCCCAGTCTAATGTGGTATTTCTTTATAATTATATAATTATCAATTAGTTCGTCTCCGGTCAGAGATGGCGTAAAACGCGTTATATGTAAGTTAGTAAATAACAAAATATATCAAAAGACGGTAGATGGCACCACTTACTTTCGTCTCACCGCAGTGAATGATTTCAAGACCTATACAGGGTGTTATGTAATTAATGTTATATATTAAAATACTGAATACCTTTTGACATAAGGAATAAAGGAAAAATATTAAAAAAAACATTTTTCCAAAGATAAAGAAAAAATATACATTAGAAGTTTTTTATATTTTTTGTGATACGCCACTGGTTACACACTTGTTTATCTCTGCACACCTGTATTTTGTGAGTACATAGATACCAACCAACAAAGTAGCTATGCGTTGCCAGATGTAAAAAATTGTTACCAAAAATTTTTCTTGCAAAAAATAAATAAAAACTCAATAAATACAAAAGTTTTATGCCTTTAAAGCTCTAATACCCTTCTGTATTTATTTACTGATCCAGCTATTAGCTTAAGCAATGATTAGAAAATTTAGTACCTTTGAAATTTGAAATCCATAACCACAAAATTAATTTTTTCATCAGTTTTTTTTCTCTGTTTACTCAGATGAAATTGGGACCAGTTCACAGGTTAAACTTTAAACATTTAATTTGTGTAAATAAATCCAAAAGCACTTCCCTTAGTTAAGATATTTACAATTTGAAAACATAACCTAAAATTTAAAAGAAATGCACTAGATTCTGTCATAAAAGTTGGCAGATTTTGTTTGAATTTACCTTCAGTACAAAAATGAAATAACCAACAATTAATAAAAACGCCAAATTGACAATTTGCATTGTTAATTTTGTCATTTTTGTAATTAAGCTAAATTTAAACAATGTTTGTCAACTTTTTTGAGAGATTTTTCAAACACTGTTGTTACCAACCATAACATAATAAATCCACCAGATTAACTTAAAGTTCGTAGTCGATCAGTGGCGTACTTTTTGGTAGGATAAAGGTTATTATAAATTATTTTTAGACTTTGGAATTTAGAAAAAAAAGTTTCAGGTGCTTCTTTATGGACCCTAAGGAACAACCCATTTTAATATATAAAATTAATTACATAACACCCTGTATATAAGGGCAAGGAATCATAACAGAATCATAACACGAACGAAATAATTGATATTTTAATACAGCTTGAGAATAATTAAAGACAATTATAGACAATTTAATAAATTCTAAGTAATATAACTTTTGATAGACTTGTTTGTGACAAAACCCAAAGTCGCACTTGACGTTCATATCGAGCACAGTTTGGTTCAATCAGTGCACCGTAAGTTTACCGTAGCTAAACCTGGTGGAGCACCTCTACAGCTCTTTAAACGTGACAATGTCTTCCGCAGGACGGAGCACTATGCTGCAGTTATTCTAACCATTGCCGCGACGATCAACACCCCGTGGGATTTGATGGACTGGTGGCCGGCAACTCGACGTCCGCCGCCGCGAGACGAGCCCCGCCGCCGGGGGGCGCACCCGTGGCGCCTGCTGCGCCTGCTCGAGTGGCTGCTGGCGGCGGCGACCTCGAGCCGCCTGCGCAGACGCAGCAAGGGGGCTGAGGCGGCGTTCGCGCCCCCAGACGGCGGCATATACATTCCGGGACGCGGTGCCTTCTCCACGAGATGCGACGATGTCACCAGCGAGCAATCTCTCTAACACTGTTGCACCCTTTTTCTGAGCGATTCACTATTGGGCCGTTTAAAAACGATGTCGCTTTTTAACGACCCAATATACCTACATATAAATATATAACTTTCGAAATTCCGCTTGGTAAAAAGTTTTATTGAAATGATTCATATTGAATCACACATGGTTTTTGAAAAATAAAATGCTTTGCGATTTTATCGATGGAGATGTAAAAAAATTATGCTTTTTAGCTTAAACATATTAAATTAGATAGAATGTAAATATTATGTAGCAATTTGTCTAAAGTTAAATAAAATATTCTAAAGATCACCGTATGACAATAAAAAGGGAACTATTCAATATAAGAATCAAATATATAAAACGAAATGCCCAATTTTTTTAATAACATTTCTCAATTTTTTTAATTAATTTTCAACGGCATTTCGTATGTTTGCATGTACTTACGATTTAACAAAATTAAAAAATGATCGCTATTATACAATACAATGTAATTTTAATGTTATAACATTCATTCTAGAGTGTATTCAGAAGTTAACGTTTTCTGAGATTGTCAAATTTAAAAAATGTTGAGGTTTTAACAATTTTTAAACGATTTAAAAAATTTTTGTGTAATTTGAAAATTCAATTATTTTTCATGCCTGAAAAACACTTATACGTGACGTGGTACAAAATACCTATACAGGGGATTTAAAAATACGTTAAACAAAAAATGTAGGTTTTGTTTTACCCTGTATATATTATACCGAACAAATTTATAAAAATTGTATTTACAGAAAAATATGAATCTTTCAAATAAAAATAAAAAATTCTAAAAATTGTCAAAGTTATGCATATGACTTAAAATGATGTTTTTGTAGTACTAAATCAAATTTTCCAATAGAAATTTGAGAATAATTTTAACTCAATTAAATGTATATATATAGTCTGTCGCCTAAAAAAGTTAATATCAACGAATTTTTTAAGAGAAATATTTGTAAATGTAGGTATCTATATATACTAATCAGTTTGAAAATTATTTTGCATGGATTGCGATATATTATTGATTTGACAAAAAATCTAGTAAATATGTAGTATATAGAGACAGTGGCCTTTCATGTTAGAACATTTTATACTAATATTTGCCTTTGTCATACATATATGTTTCGCGTTGAATTTTTAAACGGTTCCCCTTAAGTCTTCTTAAGGGGCCTTTTCTACAACTTGTCTCTTTGAATTGTTATACAGGGTGTCCTAAAAATGACGCACCAACTATTAGTTTGTGTTCAGAAAGTATCTTGTATATGTTGTATTTAAAACACCCGTACCTATTGTAAAGTTGTTGCGTTTTTTTTCTGATACTCTGTAAATATATACTATAAGATGTATAGTAAAAATATCTGTGTAGTTATATAAAATGTAGCCTAAAAGGTCCTGCAAAATATGAAAAATAAAACCAAATACACAAGGGGGCAAAATATTTAATTAAAAAAAATTAAAATTTGTTTGTCCCTCGTGTAATATAGGCAGAAATTTTGAGACTGACGTCAAAAATTTTGATAAATTGAAATATTTTGCATGGACACCATTGCTAGTCAGCTTGCGCCTTAAAAAGCAAGTTTCAAAAAATTTCGACAAAATTAAAATTTAATTAAAAAGGCATATCTAGCTATTTTAAATTATTGCAATATTAAAATTGTGATACTATTAAATGAGACTAAATAAGATAAATAAAAAAATTTATTGTATTAGTTCCTTTAAATATTAGTGCTAACAGCACTCATGAATTGAAAAATAAAATATTATTATATGTAGCACAAATTATACAAAATTAATCAAATTATTTAACATTTTAATTTATCAAAAAAAAAACATCAAAAAACCCTAATTTGACTAATTTTGTACCCCAAAGATTTTATAAAGTGTAGGTAGTGCCATCTAGCAAAAACAAACCGCATTAAAACTCGAACGACGTTTTCGCCACTTAGTTTTGTTTTTAAACGACAGATGGCGCCATATGTGTTAAAACAACGAATTTTCAATTAAAAAGCCTACTACCTATATAACTTTTAATTAGATTTCTATAGTTACGTGTACAAGATTGTATTTAAATTATTTAATTTTCGTTTGTGTATATATTTGTATACTCTGTGTACAAAAAATTTGACGATTATTTCGGTGGTGCATTATTTTTTTTACACCTTGTACATAAACGCTAATAAAATAAATTATGTTAGGAAGAAAAAATTGATGAATAATAAAAATAGACGCTAATATTATGAATTAAATAAATTTTGCCAATAGAGCACATAAATCTATTGTCACACATCAGTATTTTTTCTTGTTTTATAGTTATTATTATTTTTATTATTTACTTAGTTTTGGCTTAACACTATGACATTCTATTATTATATTATTACTATTATTATTAATGTTCTATTACTTATTCGATACTTACAACATATTGTTGTTATTATTTTCGTTAAACCTAGATTTTCTTAATAATTATTATAGGTATACCTATAGGAGTAATTTTATTTATGTACATTTTTGAGATTTATATTTATTTACATTTATTATTATTATTGTACAAATACCTATCGTCATAACGTCTTTTGTTGTAAAAATGTGTGCCAATCATTATTACAAATAAATATTAATAAACAATAATCAATTGGTGGGTATTATTTAATGACCCATTATCAAATTACTTAAAAATATTTATTTTTAGATTATTTTTTAATACCTATTTCAATTTAAATATTTCATAAAGAAATATATTTTAACGAGTGTTTCAAGTGAAATTTTATAAAAAAATATGTATTTTTAGGTTATTTTTCAGTATTTTAAGTAAAAATTTTAATTTAAAACCCTCAACCAAATTTCTTTAATAAAAAGTCTGTAAAAACGTGTTATTTTCAAAAGAACGTAAAACAAACCTACCTTATCACTTTAAAGTACCAAAACACATTTAATTTGCACTAAAAACACACAATTAACTAAAATCTGCAACACAAATGTCACTTTATTACAAACGTCAAATTCAAAACAAAAACTAATCGCAGCGCCACCTACAGTGAAAATTGACAGCTGTTCAAAAAATTAAGATTTTTTTCTTTATCTCTGGTTTATTGTGCAAAAAAGTTGTGATTTTACAGTTAAAGTGGTGTTTTTTAGATGTGGTTTTTGTGGTACCAAGTGTAAATTTAACTATATTTGCCATATAAATGTAATTTCAAGAAAAATGTGATATAATTCAATTGCTTGTACCCCTCTATAGGGACTTATTTATTTTTTATTTTATTATTTTAATGTGCTTCCAACAGGCACCAGGCCCAATTATAGGAGTACACTGACACATACAAATAAACATCCATACCCCTGGTGGGAATCCCACCTTGGGATTAGAACCCACGACCTCTCGGCTTGTAGTGCAAACTACTACACCACCGAGGGCGAATGACAGTTAAAAACAATTGTCATTTGACAGCTACAAATTATTGTTTATGATTCTAATCGTTTTGTGTGCGTTGTGTTATGAAAATCTAGATATTTACAAGAATTTTGCGTAGATTTCAGTAAGTATTTGCATGTTTTTATAATATTGTAGGATTATGAAAATAAGACCTAGTAATTCGGCATTTTTCAGTTTTTCAAGTAAAATTTCAAAAAATATTATGTATAAAATATATATTAAGATTATTAAAATATATTTTAAGGTTATTCTGCAGTATTTCAAGTAAAAGTTGTAATTTAAAACCCTCACCCAAATTTCTTACAAAATACAAAGTCTGCATAAAAACCGTGTTATCTTCAAAGAAACGTAAAATAAACCTACCTAGTCACTCTGGTCCCAAAACCTTAGAAGAAAAAACACATTTAATTTGCCTTAAAAACACACAATTAACTAAAATTTGCAACACAAATGTCGATTTATCACAAACGTCAAATTCAAAACAAAAACTCGCAGCCCCACCTACAGTGAAAATTGACAGCTGTTTAAAAAATTTATTGTGCAAAAAGATTGTGATTTTACAGTTAAAGTGGTGTTTTTTAGATATGGTTTTTGTGATACCAAGTGTAAATTTAACTAAATTTGCCATATAAATGTAATTTTAAGAAAAATGTGAAATAATTAATTAATTAATTAAGCAATACAATTGTACCCCTCTAGGGGCCTATTGTCTAATGACAGTTAAAAACAATTGTTATTTGACAGATACAAATCATTGTTTATCCATTTAATCGTTTTGTGTGTGTTGTGTTATGGAAATCTGGATATTTACAAGAATTTTGCCTACCTAGATTTCGGTAAGTTTTTGCATGTTTTTATAGTAGTATAGTAGTACTACCTACTATTACCCACAATGTGTGGATTGTGCTATTACCTACCTATTGTAGCATTGTGCGATAGGGTTACCTACCTATTGTAGGATTGTGCTATTACCTACCTATTGTAGCATTGTGCGATAGGGTTATGAAAATAAGACGTAGTAATTCGGTTTTTAGTGTTTTTTATTGGCTTTTTATTAAATATAACATTAGGTAATATTAATTCTAAACAAAAATTGGACTTAATTAAATAAAAGTAGCAATAATTAGGTAATTTAATAATTAAAGAACGAATATGCGAGCGCAAAGCCGTTTAAATGTTTTATAGACCATTTAAAAATCTTATTCAGAATATGGCCGATGTAAAGTGTATGTACAAAAAATGTCATCAGGTTATTAAGGACCTGGTCGTTGATATTTCGACGTTTGAGTCTGTTTCATAATGGAATCATTGTTGTAATTCCCTTCCCCTCTTAATGGAATAAAAAAATGTGTTCTCTTCTCAAAAAAAAAAAATAAAAATACATTCGTCAATGCCTTTTTTGTAAGTCAAAAGCGTAACAAGCCAGGGATATTCTAGATAACAATCTTAATCTTGATTTTTTTGTATTTTTCTGTTTTTTATTACTTTAATTATATTTCGATTAAGATATCTTAGGGGGGGTGTTTAAGCCATAGTAAGAGTTCCGGCTCCCATACCGAAACCAACTCCTCGGGGTCCAAAGTTTCTTCCGTAGCATCCTCTGCAGTAAATTTCACCATTCGGAGCGTCATTGGCGTTCGTGGAGTCCAAAGAGCGGTTGCAATCGGCGCAGCTGAAGCATCTACAAACAAATCGATTGCGTTAGTTGTAGAAATACCTACATCCCGTGTAGAAATTTTTCTTTGAGAAAGTCTTACTTTCTCTGAAAAAGTCTGAATAATACTTATTAAGTCGGAAAAAGTCAGAATAAGACTTATTAAGTCGGAAAAAGTCTGAATAAGTCTTATTAAGTCAGACTAATAGCAAGATTTGGGAGTTTTCTGGAAGAGTTAATAAGACTTTTTAAGAGTTAATAAGACTTTTAGTAGAGAAATTGTTGGTAACTATGGCGATAAAAATAAATATCCGAAATAATTCATAGAGGTTGAATTTGGTTATCGTAAAATAAAACACATAGAAAGGTATTTATTAACATTTTTGCTGTTGTTAGAAGCCAAGTTTATTGCATAATTACCTATATAATAACATAGGTAAGATTTAATAATTATAACAATTATAATTTTATACATACGATGCGCTTGACATGCTTTCATTATTTCCACCATAGAAAAAGGAGTTAATATCATGTCTATAGACATGATATTTTCGATGGACTCAGACAAATATGGTTGATCTTCGTGTTTCATTCATCTTTGTCATAGAAAACTTTGTATCATGGTTGATTTTCGTGTTTACGTACAGTGTTGCCATAAAAGTTCCTGACCATAAATTACAAAATACTAAAATAATAATAAAAATGTAACAGGATAGAATAAAATAATTGTGCATATTTAGTAAATATACAATATTATTTACTGGAAATTTCTTTTGTTATTATTTTGGTAGAAATTTGCAAATCACCCGCAAATATTACGAAAATACCCGATTTTCAAGTAAAATACTTGTAAACGGCAACACTGTGTCCTACTGACAGGTCAGCTGTGCTCTAATTGGTCAGCTAGCTGAGCTGGTCTCTCGATATTACGTCTAGAAGATTTGTTTGTAACAATGTTTAGATAGGTAAATATTTGCGTGTATCAAAAGAAACTATTAAAATAAAACGTACAGTGGCTATGGTGGAAACAATGAAAGCATGTATGTCAAGCGCATCGTATGTATAAAATTATAATTGTTATAATTATTACATCTTACCTATGTTATTATATAGGTAATTATGCAATAAACTTGGCTTATAACAACAGCAAAAATGTTAATAAATACTTTTCTATGTGTTTTATTTTACGATAACTAAATACAACCTCTATGAATTATTTCGGATATTTATTTTTATCTCCGTAGGTACCTACCATTTCTCTACTAAAAGTCTTATTAAGTCTTAAAAAGTCTTATTAACTCTTCCAGAAGACTCCCAAATCTTGCTATTAGTCTGACTTAATAAGACTTATTCAGACTTTTTCCGACTTAATAAGTCTTATTCTGACTTTTTCCGACTTAATAAGTCTTATTCAGACTTTTTAAGAGAAAGTAAGACTTTCTCAGAGAAAAATTTCCACAAGGGATCTCAAGACGACTGACCTTTTGTGCCAGATGGCAGCCTTGCTGATCATTTGTTCGGCGGCGAAGACCGAGTATCCGCATCTGCGGCACCCTTTTCCGGCTTCGGCTCTGGGTCCGCTGTTCACGTTGGCGGTGTGCAGGACGGTGGCGGCACCGTCGCCGGTGCACACCAGGGTGGGAGAGTGTCCGAAACCGAAACCCTTGGGCCCGAAAAGTTTTCCGTAGCAAGCTCTGCAGTGGATCTCCTTGTCGGGACCGTCGCAAGCCAGAACTGAGTCCAGCGGACGATGGCACTCGGCGCAGTTGAAGCACTTTTTGTGCCACATCTACGGAGCAGGTGTCAGAATTTTTTCGTTTTATTTTTCGACGCAATTCACTTACGGTTCCTTTAGCGAGCTGTTGTTCGGCTGCAAACACCATACCGCCGCACCTGGGGCAACCTTGGCCGGGGGGAGCTTTGATGGAGGTGGTGTCAGGGTTGTAGAACGGCCTGGATTTGGAGATTTCATCCTCACTGCAAAAAAGTCTTGATAAGTAAGTTACATACTATCCCAGCAAAGGTTCTATAATAGCCTTTATAAACGTGCCTTTAATGAACTGAAGGCCCTATAAAGGCTAACTCTAAAGTAACTGTACATAATATGTCGCGTTCACCTTTTATGGGCCTGTAACGGCAGAATAAAGACAGTTACAAGAACCATTTTGATATGGCGGATTAAAGGTACAAATGTGGCAAGCTAAAGTTTCTGATATGGGGTGTTAAAGATTCTACAGTGGTTATTTAAATAATTTTTAAAATCGTGTTTTTTGGCTATGCTTGCTTTTCTTATGGGAACTGTTGGCGACTAATTAATTTTACCTGGTGGATTCTTTGTTAGTTAAAGTTTTCGGATTTCGCATTAAAGTTTAGAATTATTGTTACATAAGGTCACGCAATTTTGTTAAATTTTACTTATCCGATTTATCCACACTTGGACTTCGGGTAAATTGACAGGCAGGTGTGAGGAAATTGGTCTTTAACCTCGACCCACTAATCGTCTCAATTACACCCTTTTCCACAGGTTCCACACGCAATTTGCGATCTGGTAGATCACGTGTAGAATAGTTATTGTTTTTTTTTTTAATTTGAACAACTTTAGCACTATGGAAGTACAAACGCGTTAAGCGAGACCTTACTCACACGACCGTTTGCCTTGAGGTGCGGAGCATCACCGTTTTCTTTGCCATTATTAATTTCTTTTATTGGCAATTGCCCCAATTTTGTCCTTTCTAATAAATTGTTTGCAATAAGAGCTCTAAAAATTGTAGAAAGCAAAATCACTTACGTAAGTCCATCAGTTTGCAAAAATCCACTTCCGCAAGCGAAGCCGTATCCATGCGGACCCCACTTCTTTCCGTAGCAAGTTTTGCAGTAGACGTCGCTGTCGGGTCCATCGCAGGCGTTGATGGAGTCCAAAGTTTGCTTGCAGTCGTGGCACTTGAAGCACTTCCGATGCCATGGCCTGCCCTTGGCGAGGACTTCTTCGGCGGCGAATACCACGCCACCGCATCTCGGGCAACCTTTACCTGGAGCCGCCATGATGGAGGCGGTGTCGATCAACGTTGTCCTGGGAGCTTGGTCGCTGAAAATACGAGACACTCTCCATGTAAAGGTGTTGTCCAGAATGTTTGAGTTTCATGTTAGGGTTAATATAGAAACACATTGTATCTATCTATAAAAATTTAAAAAAAATAAGCTACCTTTGCCACTCACTATCCAAGGCATCGGACATTAGCCCCAGGAAAAGACCTCCAGCATGTCCTACACCACGTGGCCCAAAGCGTTGAGCATAGCAAGCTATACAAAAAATAGGTTAGCGTCCAATCTGCCATAAAGCTAAATAGCATTAGTCACTTTCAGTAGATATTTATTTTATATATTTCTCTTTATAAATGTCTAGAGGAATTATACATTTTGCATATCCGAAAAATACATTTCCCCGCGTGTAAAAAGTCATAATACAGGTTGATTCACATTATTTTTGTCGAATGATGTAAAAATTGTATGGTAGTTTCGTTTGAAATAAGAAAGTTATATGGTATTTAAAGTGACACAAAAGTCAACGTAAATATCAGAGACCCTGTATAAAATTTTCAAATAACATCTGTCATTTGGCATTTTTTAAAATATTGTAGCGAGTACCGCTCTGGATATCGGAGTGATGAGTTATCGCCGGTGAGTCATCGCTGGTGAGTCAGCGCTCGAACAATCGAGAGTGTGGAGCTGACTGGAATGTTCCAGAAGAAGTAGGCGCTGAATATATAAGGAACGGAGCAGCATAAAGCAGTCAGTCAAGTTTTGGTACTCGCGTCGAAATAAATAAATATACGTGCAAATAAATAAACTAGTAGTGATATATAAATAATTTGTAGTTAAGTGTTTAGTTAATTTTATAGTTTCTTAGTGTTTTAAGTGTAATTAAGTTATAAAATAAATAGTTTAGTTCGTTAATAAACCAGTGCGTGTTTTAATTCACACTACGGACAGTTAAAAACGTTACAATATTTTTAATAACGCATGAAAATAGTATATTATGTATCAAGTTTTATAAACGCCATTTTATGCGAGCGAGTGTTTAATAAAAACGAGTGCCTAGAGATGTTTATAAAACGAGTTGCATACTTTACTTTATCTACGACGAACAGATATGAGAATTTAAAGCCAATTTTAATTTATAAATATTTGACATTTGACAAATTTAACCTCACTTTTTTGCAATTTATAATATCGCTAACTTCAGCCCGTGACTAAAATGCCCAAAAGCCACTGTTGTTAACTTCAGCCCGTGACTAAAACACCATAAAGTCACAGCTCTATAATGTAGGAGTAGATAAATAATTTTAAAAAATAGATTACATTGCCTTATAATTGCTAAACAAATTTCAAATCGATCTTTCTCCGTTCTCCATAAAATGAGTTAGGTGAATCACTCTGTATATACAATATATATAATATATAGGTTAAACCCTAAAGTGACTAAACTATAACACAAAAATACTGAAAACTCAAGATTGTTAAATTAAGCATTTAAAAAAATAAGCAAAAATCAGTGTACCAACCTAACAGCATAGCAATCGCTTTGAAGGGTACCACCACCTTGGCCGTATCCATAACCTTTTGGTCCAAATTTCTTACCATAACAAACTAACAAAAAATTACAAATAAATAAACATGACACAAAACAGAATAACATCTATTATCTAATGTCACATGTAACAAATATAATGCCATGTTTGTGTCAGCTTGATTTAGTACTTTGGCATTATATTCCTTACCGCGTGTAGTCTCATGGACAGTTTTTAAGTTAGTCAACACACCTTTACAGTAAATATCTTTATCTGGGCCTTCTGTTACGTTTACTGAGTCCAAACCCTTGGCACACATTCCACATTTGAAGCATGACTTGTGGAATCCCTTGAAAATTACGGTTAGAGTTAATAACACAACAAGGACATAAGTTTTTAAAACATGTAGTAGTAGGGCTTTAGAACACCCTGAACATTATTTAGTTGTGTTGCGGGGGTGGTTGTCATTCAAAAAAACGATAGACATGTACATGGGGTTTAAAAATAAAAAAAATAAAAATCATGCTGTCTTTTTCGTTAAAGACTATTTTTTGGGGCCCGCCAGGGCCGTACCTCTGCAATAAACTTCCCCATCTGGACCGTCGCAATGTGACGTCGAATCTAACCATCTTTCGCAGTTATTGCAACGAAAACAGTACTTGTGCCAGCCCTGGTTACAAGTGCAAAAATAAGTATCAAAAAATGTTAAAAAAATGGTAATTTTACTATGCTATGGCTGCGTAATATAACAAATATCTTTAAGAATGAAAAAATAAAACCGACTGTAATGTTTTAAAAGTGTTTAGATCCCGTCTCGTTTTTTTAGGAAATCTGGATTTCTATGTCAAGAACTATATTTATACGTTCTAAAAATACATGTACTTAAATAGAAACTTGCTTGGATACAGAATTATGTAATAGAAACAGTATGGTTCAAATTGTTCTAAAAATGCTGAAATTTCATAGTTTTTAAAATTCATATATTTGAAATGGTCAAACCAAAGTTCAATTTTTCCATTACGTATTTTTTTAGGGTATGTAATGTAATGTAATTTTGTATGTATGTAATAATAATATATTTACTGTTTATATTATATAATAGTACGAGGTGTGTTCAGATAATATCGGGAATTTTCGTTTTTTGAAACCAATATTTATTTATTCGTCTATATTAATGTTGTCGCCTTCAAAATAGTCCCCATTGGATATTATGCACAAGTGACAGCTCTTCTTCCAATACTCGAAACACTTCTAAAACTCGATCTTTGAGAATTTAACAATTTTAGAACAAATTTTGCTGCTACGCCTTTCATACCCAAAACATTCGAAAAAATTTCATGGGATAAGCCAATCGATATACCAACATCATCAGCGACTTCTCTGATGGTTTATAACAATTTCTTCCACTTTTTCCATTTTTTTATCGGTTGTTAATGCGCTTGTGCGTTCGGGGCGTTCGTCATCTTCAACGTCTTCACGGCCATCTTGGAAACTCTTATACCACTTGTAAACTCTTGTTTTACTTATAGCAGACTCACTATAGGCCTTTGTTAACATTTCACAGAATTTATTTCATTTTTTAAGCACAATTGGATACAAATTCTTTGATCCATTTCTTTTAACGAACGAAAAATCGCCGAGCTCATAAAACACGTCTAACCTTAGCGGCTGCCACAGACAAAGTAAACAATGAAAACAGCTAAAGTTTTTATCATACTTCGGGGGCATATATAACAACATAATAAAGAAAATTGTATGACAACCGGACCCTCCGAACCCGCAAAATTTAACAATTCCCGTTATTTTCTGAACACACCTCGTTAAAATATATATTATAATTATAATATAATATATTATAATACATAATATATAAATAATATATATATATTATATAATACATAATATAAATATCTTTATAATCAACTTCTACCATATTTTTTAGGTAAGTAAATATTTTTCGCTAAAAACAATAAAAATGATCATTTGTCAAATTATTAAGAATTTTGGATCATCATTCCATAAAATATATGCATATATTTAATCTCAATTTAATAATTTTGGGTTTTTAGTACATATAAATTGAAGAAAAAAAAGCATAATTTTAAACAGTCTGAAGTTTGAGCCTCGATATCTTTGAAACGTCTTGATGTCAATCAAACCTTTTTTGTAGAGCATTACATTTCCGTTAAGGTTTAATTTTGTCTTACTTATGAAGTAGCTCGTTATCACGTTACAAAATTACAAAGTTTGAAAAAAAAATTCCCGTTATTTAAATGGGAAATAGGAAATTACAAAACGCCACCTCTAAATATTATGTTAAGAGCTCATATTTTCACAGGGTCATTTTCTAAAAATAGTCGGTTTTTAGACAATCTAACCAACAGTGTTTATTTTGTTTCCATAGCAACTGGTTTTAGATGTTTAACATAAAAACAAATTATATAGTAAAGAAAACACAGCGTTGCCGAATTTTCATAAATAGTTTTTTTATATTGCTTTTGTTTTCATAGTCACATTCTAACCACGCCGCAAGTCTAATTCCCGATCACAATGTCTTTAGACTGTGACATTTTTTTTTCAACTTTTATAGCATAAAAATTTCAATTTTTTTTTTAACTTACTCTTCCTCTAGCAAGCATTTGTTCAGCGGCGTAGACGTAACCACCGCATCTGGGGCAACCCTGGCCATCGGGTGCCTTGGCAATAGCTTTTGGCAAAAGCGGGGCTCTGCTCACAACTATGTCGTCACTATATAATTAAAAAATATATCAAAAAATTAAATTTTTTAAATATACGGGTCTAAAAACTCCCTGTCAAACAAAAACATTCTATTTGGTCAAAAGTTCACACCTCAGTGCTAACTCTTGGCATTTTTTTTTATTAAAAACTCAATTTAAAATCTTTATAAAACATTTTAATATTTAATATCGTCGAATTAAAAATGTTGGTGCTACCTATTAGCATTTCTATGGCACGCCGTTTTAGCATTTATTATTACTCTATATTTCTCTTATTAGTGGCTGCTTTTTCACTTGTAACATGGTTAACCATGGAATACCATGGTATCCCAAAATTTATCAGCCAATTCTTATGTAAGATCGTCTCCTGAATCCGAAAATACCGTCAAAAATTATGAAAGTGGAGCAGTTTTTGAGATATAGTCAATTCTATATTAAATGGAAAATGGTTAACCATGGTACAATTGAAAAAGCATCCACTAATAACTATTAAATTAGTCATTTTTGACTAATTTATTTTTAGAGAGTAGATAATAGTTTAAAGATTAAAGTTTAGCACTTTAATGATGTTTTAGCAGAAATTTACAAAGTTAAAAGTTTAAACTCAAAACAATTGATAGTCAAAGTTTTTTTAAAATATAAAATACAACTGTAAAAACTTTAACCTTAAAAATATTGATTTTTAAAAATTTTAGTTACAATATTTTGGTCTACAAAATTTTTGGTTTAAATTTGTAAAGAGTCATTTAAATGATATTCGATAAATTTTTAAACTAACATTTAAATGTATGGCACGCCGTTTTAGCATTTATTAGATAAAAGTTTAAAGATTAAAGTTTAGCACTTAAATTATTATTTAACAGAAATTTATTAAGTTAAATTTTTTTAAACTCAAAATAATTGATAGTCAAAAAATATTTTAAATATAAAATGCAACAGTAAAAATTTATGTTTAAAAATATTGAGTTTTAAAAGTTTTGGTTGAAATATTTTATTTTACAAAATTATTGGTTTAAATCTTTAAAGAGTCATTTAAATGTTGATAATTTTTTAATACAAAAATTCTCACATTACATTAAATCACGGTGCCGTTCTGAGAGGTGATTTTTGGACTTTCTGTGAAACCTAATTTTTTTTATATTCTTGTTAATTAGGTCATAACTAAAATTTTAAGAGTAAAATAAAAAAAAATTGACGGTTTTAATTGTTTTAATTGGCTGTTTATTAAAAATATTATGCACTCTTTCAATTATACAATTAAAATTAGCGATTTAATTTAAATATTTAATATTTGCATAACTAAAAAAAAGGTTTTTAATTTTTTTTTATATATTTTACTGTTTTGTTGCAATAAACGTTCAAACTTTTAATCTAACCTTTGACGTATACATTTATGTTCCCTTAATTAATATATCCTTAAAGGTTGCCATGAAACTTAGATCTATTAAAAATTTATTTGACGTCATTTTCAATATACGTATTCTATAATTTTTGTTTAGTTTTTAAAGTGTTTTTTATAAACAAAAATGAAAAATTGTAGTAAAAGTTACGAAGAAATTTATGAAATTTAACTAAGGACCGGTTTATTCATCTTTAGTAAAGTTTATCGGGCCGATAACTTTCATGTCTTGGCAATATCTAGTATCCAAAGAAATTTCGTCAAATAAATCAAAAATGAATAAATCGGCCCTAAATAAAATGTTGCACCCTTAGAATTATTGTTTAATAAATATATACTACATTTAACCTTAAATTAAAACTTTAAACGTGTATTGCAACAAAACAGTAAAAGATATAAAAAATGTATAGACCTTTTTTTAGGAAATTAACTAATCTTTAATCTGATTTAAAAAGTTATGATAATATTTAAATAAAATCGCAAGTTTTAATTGGAGAATTGAAAGTGTGCATACATATTTTTAATAAACATCCAATTAAAACAAAATTAACCGTCAATTTTTTTTTATTTTCATCTTAAAATTTTAGTTATGACCTAATTAACAAGAATATAAAAAAATTAGGTTTCACAGAAAGTCCAAAAATCACCTCTCAGAACAGCACCGTGTAAATGTAAGTTTTAAATTTTAAAGTAGTAATTTTTGGATTAAAAATTTATCGACTTTGTAATTTAAAAATTATCGACTTACATTTAAATGTAAAGTTATAAATTATGTCTTAAAAATATATCACTTTAAAATTGTTAAAAATAAAAAAAAATTGGTTTAAATTTGTAAAGAGTCATTTAAATAATAGTCGATAAATTTTTAATGCCAAAATTACCAATAAAACTAACATTTAAATGTAATGTTCAAATTTTTGTATTGAAAATTTATCGACTATCATTTAAATGACTCTTTACTAATTCAAACCAATAATTTTGAAGAATAAAATATTAAAATTCCATTTTTAAAACTTTTACAGTTGCATTTTATATTTAAAATATTTGTTGATTATCAATAGTTTTGAGTTTAAAAAAATTTAATTTTTTAAACTATTTTGGTAGAAAATGTTATATATGTGTTTTTATTTCAAATGGCTTGATACTATTTTTAAATACTAAAAAATTTAACTTTACCAAATTAATCTCAATAATTTTATAAAATATTTATTTAAGTTAACAAAATGCCACCCAAATAAATTATACTTGGGAAATTAAATTTATTAAAAAATGATAGACATTTTTGCAAAAATTGATAGAAAATAATATTGTTTAACTGTTGGTTAGTAAATTTTGTCTTTCAATACATGATAGTTGAAAATATTATAAATTTATAAATGTAAACTTAAAATTTTTAGTTAGGAAAATTTTAAACCAATAAAATTTTAAATTAAAAAATTGTTTAATAAATGTTAAAACGGCGTGCCATATAAATGTAATGTGAGAATTTTTGTATTATCATTGTATCATTTGTATCACTTAACAAATTTAAAACAATTTGGTAGAATCAAATATTAAAACTACAATTCATAAAAACAAATATTTTAAACTTAAACTTTTAGACTTGCATTTTGTTTTTAAAATATTTTTAAATTGTTAAAAACACAATTTAAAATGTTAAAAGCATATTTAAGAATGTCAAGATTTATTTTGCGATTAAATTTTGTATGTCAAGACATAGTTTATGATATCAAAATTAGTTAAAAATGATATATCGTTTTTAACCCCATGGTGCTATCACTTGGAACTTTGGTTCTAAATTGTCAAAAACACAATTTAGAATGTTACCAAACAATGGTGCTATAATTTAGAGAAATTGGTGTTTTTGTTTTGCATTGAGTTTTTAAACATCCTGTATTAAGCTAAGCGTTAGAGGATATAAGCGTGTAAAATGTGTACAATTTATACCATTTATAACACCCTGTATAGTATTCTGAATGTGCTTTTATAGTGGTATACAGAGTGTTTTTATGGTAGTGTGTTAATGCTTTGAATGCTGTGTGAAAATAAAAATATTTGATGCTACACTGCAAAGCCGTTGAAAGTGCTATAAAATAAGAAATTATTATTAAATAAAAAAATAATGTAAAATAATGAGAAAAGGTAAAGTTTTACCCGGTATACTAAAGTCTAATCAGAATGAGGGCTTTACTCCCTTATCCCATTAATATTCAGGGATTAATGATTTAAAAAAAATGTTAATGCTTTAGCCATAGCCATGCGTAACAATGATATCTCACCTTTTTGTCACTAATTCTAGGGATTTTTGGTTTTTAGGGTATATGGGGAAAACAGGCAATTTTCAGACATTTACAAGTTTTTACAACAAACAAAGACAAAAGGGGGACAGTTTAAAAATGTATTGGGTGTATATATAAAATCGCGTTTGAAAAAGATTGTGAAAACTTATAAATGCGATGCCCGACTCAAAACACAGATAAGTAATTTTTATGCGACATTTATTGTTTTCAATTATTACAAAATTATAATAATCGAGATTAATCAATGCTTTTTGTTTTATTGTACCATGTAAAATGAATTATTTGTTATAAATAATAATGTAGTAACCTAGATATTAAAATCTAATTATTATATTAGATGAGGAGTGGTGGGGGTTGGTGTTAAGTCCTCCAAACACTGACGATTCCTTTAGGACGAGCTACGAGACAAAGGGAACAAATCATGCTTTTTGAACTTTTGAATCTTTTTTTTTATTTAAATATTGGCATCGGCTTAACAAGCAGTTAACACATCTGATCCTAAAGCATTTCGTTAAAAATGCCAAAAAAATTATAGTACAGTAACTGTATCTTAAAAAATATTAATGAAAGAATATTAAAATTTGGGTATGTTTTAAGGTCATACCAAATTTAAAAATTCCAGCATCAAATTTTTGAAAAGTTACAGACAAAAATGCAACTGCACATTGAAATTGAAGCATTTAAAGCATCAGAAGTGTTAGCTTGCGTTTTTGTGTACAAAAAAGGTAAACAAAAAAACATAGAAGTAAACATTACATAGGAAAATAAAGAAGGAAAGCCCTCATACTGAACAAGACGTTAGATAAAATACTACTAAATAATAATAATAATTTATTGGGATCTAGGCCTTTTTGAACCGATACCGAAATCTACTTTAAAGCACCCTAAATTAATGACCCCAATTTTTTCACTTTTTCAAAGTCTTTTACAAAAATGCATTTCTTAAGAGCCAAAAAATTGGGGATTTTTTTAAAACCTGACTTACCCTGAGAGGTGAGCACCGGTGTCCATGCTCAAGCAGCCGGCACCACCGCCGAATCCGTAACCTTTTGGTCCGTATTTGCGGGCGTGGCAGTTTTTGCAGAAAAGCTCAGCTTCGTGCTCGGTGACGTTGGTGGAGTCCAACATTTTGTTGCACATTCCTGCATTGCAAAAAAAGGCTTTTACATTTTTTGTGCGATGGAAAAACGTCGGCTTTTTGAGTTTTGGGAAAGTTATGTAAATTTTTTATATGGTACATATATCTCACCGCTGTTTGTGAAGCAGTGCTAAGTATATATACGATTTGAATTTCATTGAATTTAAAGGGTTTTTCAATATTTACAGTGAATTATTTGAAGGTAACTTACCACATTTGAAGCATGATTTGTGGAATTTGTATCCACCAGCTACGCGCTCTTCAGCGGCGTAGACTGATTTTTGGCATTTGGGGCATTTTGGGTTTTCTACTGGCTTGAAAGGCATCTTGGTTGTTTCGTCGACCTAAATTCACAAAATAAATTGAATTGAAAAAAAAATCTCAAATCATTATGAAAGCATAAGAAGAATTTGGAAAAATGTGAAGAGATTCTAAAGATTGAGCAAGCGTTGGCATAAGTCCAAGTGGGTAGGAGGAAGCCTGCATAAAAATAGAGTTGGACGTAATCCAAAAGGGAGCGCATCCAGGGTTACCAAAAATGGCATGCATTCAGGTGTGATATCACATTACAGCAGGGAAAAAAGCACTACTAACAACTACGCTCAAGAAGTAATTAAATGTTGCACTAACTAGAATGTTATAATAAAAAGTCCTTTGAAAATGCACTTGTAAGCAAATCACTAATGCGTATCACTATAAAATCACTGTGTTACCTGTTCGGAATCGTTGTTCTTGGTCACTACGACACTTCTCGAGTGATGTCTTGAGAGCCGCGACGGGCCTAGTCTATCCACCGATCCATTGCACACGGCCCTAAAGGTGTAGCGACTGAGAGAGTGGGGCGATTCGTAGATCTACGAATAGACTGCTGATTTATGGACTATTTTCGTTGGATGCACGCGTTTCGATGTACTTTTTCGATAAAATGACGACCTTTTTACAGAAATATGATACCGGCTTACCTGGCCTCCCAAAAAATATAACGACAGATTAAATGTGTTAGTCATTGATCATGATTAAATTTTTGAAGATTAGTCAAAAGTTTTTTTGGTGCGGTGAGTTTTTTTTTGGTTTTTAGTGATAGTGTGGTCCCGGTGCATTCGCCATTTTTCGAAGTGAATGTTTTTTATAATTTTTGCAGTTCTTAAACTTATTCAACAATTTTTTACTAAAATATTAAAAAACAAAGCCCAGGAACACTAATTTAAAAAAAAATTGATTTTGATAATATTTAACAATATTTAACATTATTTTATACTATGTTAAGAAAATTCCAATTCCTACTTGTGTTTTATTTATTATAGAAAAGGAACGTGAATGTTTTTATTTCACAGTTTATGTTTTTTAATTTTCTTGTAGTAATAAAATCAAGCAAACTACCTTCACAAAGAAGACAAATTTAATTTGTCAGTAAAATATAATTTTAGCAAAAACTTGTAAACTGTTGATTTAAAAAAGTAAATACTTTTTTTGTATGAAATTTAGTTTTCCACAAAATGTAAGTCGAATAATTAATATTTTAAGAGATTAAAGTCATCAAAATTTAAAATTCTACCTAAAAGATTAATGGTTTTATAATATAATATAATATTTCCTAATGTTTTTCACTCATTTTATTTGTTAGGTACCAAAACAATTATAATAATTTGTAAAATATTTAAAGATTAAAACAAAATATTTTTTGCATAAATAGAAATTTTGATAAACACTACATATTAATTTTATATTTTTTTGTGAAAAAGAGTACCTACATTTCTTACAAAAAATGTAAATATTTACTTTTTTCTCTCAAGTCAATTGTTTCCAAGTTAACAGCAAATAATCAATTTCATGGAAAATCAAACGAACAAAAAATGTTTTTTTTAATTTTTTTTAGTCTTTTTATGTACATTTTGTAATTTTTATGAAAATAACTATAAAAATATTAATTTTTTAAAAGAGTTTGAATTTTCAAATTATTATTTATTTAAATGCCAATATTAAAAGAATAGGGTACTATTATTTTTAAAATTTTTTATAAAAAATCTTTCTTTGAAAATAGGTAGGTGCGTTACAAAATTTAGCCTCTTGGTTTTTTTTGCCAAAAAAATATTTTTTAACTAAGAGAACTGGATTTTTTGACATATTTTCAAATAAGGATTTTGGAGATTTTATTTAGGTATATGAAACCATTCTGTAAATTAAAAAAAAATTGACTTTATCTTTACTAAACAATAGCCAAGTAAAATTACAAACCATGTGTAATACGTAATGTAATACGAATACACATTTAAAACCTAAAAGCAGAAAGGAGTTTTACTATATTTTTGTACTATTTTTTGTCTTATTCAAATACGTTTTGTGTTTTTATATTAACGTGTCTTATTTTAACTTTAATTATATGTTTAGTGCATTCCTAATGATTCACCACATAATAGTAAATATTACATTCGTTTATTTTTGGTACTTTCGCAATATGTATTTTTGTCGATGTTTTTCCTGTATTACAAAACTATTTAAATTTATATACTTATGTTAAAAAAATGTGTTATGTACTAAAATATTTGTGTAACTTAAAAATGTCGTTAATATTATTAAAAATACAATTAAAAATGTTTGTAATGCTGCTTTAAATTAAATTACACTTAATTAATTGAGTCATTTAACCGAACAACAAGTAAACTAATTACTAAATCTTAGTCTTAGTTAAATATAATTATTCTTTTAATTTATATCTCAAAACCAAAAATTGTTTTGCCAAGTTTAGATTAGTCATTTTGGATACTTTAGACCATCTGTTCGTGGCAACTCCAATACAAATATAAAGTCTTTGCCAATCTTTACCAAATTTAGTACCCAATTAAAAAAGGTTAGTAATGCTCCATATTTTTAGATTTAATTATCTATTTAGGTTGTTAGTTAATGACAGTTTCATAGCTTTATTTTTATAATAAACTCATTACTTTGTACCATAGTATAGCCTTGCGAAAATATGATGTTGTTTAATCAAACTGGCAAAAAAATATTTTTAGCTATTTCAATATTTTATATTTAAAACATTAATTTATCATTATCTATGTAACAGTTTCTAAATTTTCGAAATTCTAAAAACGTATCTTTTATTGGGCTATTAACTGGAATAAATTTATGTTTATTGTTTTTAAATAAAAAATGAAGCTATTAAATTTTTGACCGTTATAAATTAAATTTTACTTGTGAATTTTGTGAAAAAAATGTCAGGTGTGTTTGTTTTCTTGCACACATTTTTATATCCATCTCATTAGATTTTTTAAAAATAAGAACACAATCTGTGTATAACCCTACGCTTTTCTGTTTCATAGAAATATGTATTTATATAATTTTCTAAATAAAAAAAATGGCACTCTTTAACAAATTAAAATAATTGTCAAAACTAGCAAAACTTGATTTTTTTCAAAAATATATTGAATGAAAAAACATTTTGCACAATTTATTTAAGGAGGCGTTGCCAAGAGCGGAAATGACCGTAACTACAAATGTTGATTTATGTGCCGTTTTGAGAATTTTTATTTGATTTTGTTGAAGCTACAATTTTTTATAATTTCATTAAAATTGGACAAAATTGATTTTATTTCCTAAAAAATACGTTTTGTTTCTGTCATCTCTTTTTTAAGTAAAAATTGTATGTACATACAGATCTTTTTTTTTATTTGTAGAGTAAAACAAGAGTTTATAAGTGATATATGAGGTTCCAAGGTGGCCGTAAAGACGTTGAAGATGATTAACAACTGATAAAAACATGGAAAAAGTAGAAGAAATGGCTATGAACGATCACCGAATCACAATCAGAGAAGTCGCTGATGATGTTGGCATATCGATGAAATTTTTTCGATAGTTTTGGGCGAGGGGTAAACCACTTTAAAAGCTTAGAGACCAACGTTCAATGTTAGTGGACGTTGTGTTGAGATTATTTTCCTTATCAGTCGTTATCAATAAGGAAAACTTGCTTAATCGCTGCTTAATCGGTGCTTAATCAGTGCTTAGCGACGCGTTGTACATGACTACCCTTGTTATTGTTAATTCGTAAGCGATTTTTAATTTAAAAAACCCCTCGGTTTTGGGTATGAAACGCGTGGCAGCAAAATTTGTTTTAAAATTGTTGAATTTTATACACAACTTGTTGCCAAAAACAATACTGTAATGATGCCCCAGCCTACATATTCGCCAGACATGGCTCCGTCTGACTTTTTCCTATTCCCCAAAATAAAGAGAACCTTAAAGGGCCGTCTTTTTGCAAGCATAAATGACAATAAAAGCGCATCGCTGAAAGAACTAAAGACTATCCCAAAGATCGCGTTTTAGAAGATTAGAAGAAGCGCTGGCACAAGTGCATAATATCTAATAGGGACTATTTTGAAGGCGACAACTTTAATTTAGACGAATAAATAAATACTTTTCCCGTCATTTTCTGAACACACCTCGTATACATTATAATTATTATTAAGCCACTACAAGTATTAACGTCCAGTGTCTTTAACAAAATACCCATTCACCATTGGAGTCCAATGATTGGACAACATTCACGTGTATACACATAAAATTTTAATTTCTTTTAAATAAATTCTTTTCAAAGCGAAGATTATTATCCGCCAGGAATACTTTGTCTCTCCTGGGCCGTAGTCACCTATATTTAACTACTTTTTTATATGATTTTACTCATCTACGCACCACCAAAGCCAAATTTTGGTTCCGTATTTACCAACCAAACCCCTAAATTTGCAACGTTGCCGCAGTCCAGATAAAAAAGTAAAAGTAAAGTAAAACATAAAATTTCTTTTAAAAATACTCTATTTTTCACACTAACAAACATAACTCAAAATCACTTTGATATATTCTGTTACAAACGTCACCATAATAAATCGCTTATTTATAAAAATTACCACACAAAATTCGATAAAAAAATACGAAAAAAATTGACTTATTTTTAACGAATGAATAATAAAGCGGCTGCCAAAATTTCTTCTGCCTAAACCGATGAGTCATCTTGGAAATATTGAAGCGAAAATAGCAACCGAAAAATAGCGTGGGCCTAGATAAGTTTTCTATCTTTAAAATAAAGTGTCTAGTGACTAACTAGCAGAACTTTTTAATTACCAATAGTATCATTTTAAATAATGTAATTAAATTATAGCCAAGCAATGCCAAAAACCTGTTTGTCTAATATTATTTTTTGTAAACTTATAAGCTTTAGTAGTACACAAGAATTATATAAAAAATTATAAATAAATTTGATTTTTTGGTCTTATTCAACATTTTTGTTTTTTAAGTTTTTTTCTTATCTTGCTTTATTTAAAATTTATTATGAAAAATTTTACACAAGAAGTCAATTTTTTATCTATATTTACAGGAAATTAAATTAGTTATACTTATACATATTTTATCAATTTATTATGTATTTTTTTTAACATATTGCAATATTAAATTAAATTTGTAACTTTAATGTAAATTTAGTATTTCCATTAATGTGACAAAAACCTTAATAAGTAAATTAAATTAAACAATGTTATTATTTTTTTAGTTGGGAAAACTTGTAACCTGTTTCGCCCCTTGTTCTGTAAGTATTAAAAACTTCTTAATTTAGAATTATAAAAATAGATTTTTTAATTGTTAATTAATTAACTTCAGTTGCAAAAATGGCGAATGTGCCGGGATTAAAACATTTTTTTTATTAAAATCTTGTTATTTAATTACAATAAAAACACTTTCAATTTATATTTTGTTTGTTTATATTTTCCTTTCCATCCTTTATCTAGAATATTTTATACAGGGTGTTTTAATAATGCATTAAAAAATTAAATTAGGCCTTAATTTTTTTCGAAATTTTAATAATACATAGTTTTTAAAAATCAATATTGCTTTTTTTTAAATTGCCCTTTAGTTTTTCTTTAAGCATTATTAAAACATATAAAATACATTTATCTAGCTACTACCTATGATTGTCATCCAAAT